CTCTCTTGCAGAAGTATCTCGAATCAGCAAGGGTGAGCTGATCTCACAATGGCCTGGCCTGACCACTCACGCCTCAGTGGATCCGGCGCCGCCGCTGCCGGATCGCCCCCCCCCCCCCCCCCGCGAACGCCCGCCGATGCTGCGGACGCCAGAAATAATCGTTTCCGGGCGCCTTGTGCCTGAGAACAAGAGCCGCCGGCAGTCGTAATGCAACTGACTCACCTAAACGACTTCGTCGCGGCAGACCCCCCCGGCTGGCCCAGCTCTCCTCGGCCCCAGGGGCGTCGAGGTGCAGGGTCTCGCGCGGCGCCCCAGCGCCGGCAGCGCCGGCCGCCGCTGCGCGCCCAGCGCGAAACTGGGCTACAACCGTCAGTGTTGCACCTCCTTTTCCCTCGCGCGCCCACTTATGCCGCGGACGCACGGGTCTGGCATCTTCGGGCGCCTGGCGCCCGAGACCGAGGGCCGCCGGCGGCCCCTGCGATGCTTCGCCGCGCGCGCCCTGGCATCGCAGCGGATCTTCCCCCGAGCCCAGCCCCCCTCAGTCCCAGGGGCGCGTGCCCGACGAACCTCGAGCGGCGCTTCGACGCTGAGAGCACGCGGGCGGGAGCAGAGAAGCGAGCAGCCGAGCCGTTCAAAGGAGGAGGAGGATGGACGGGGGAAGGAGGAGGGAAAACGATGATGGATCGGACGAGCAGGAAGAGATGGAGGAGGAGGAGGAGGCGGAGGAGGAGGGAAAAAAGAGGAAGGCATACAAAAGAGCCAAATACCTCTTGGATGCCTCTCGAAATATATTGGGGCATCTTGGGTTATATCTATATATGTACATATACACATATGTACAAACATACATATACATATATATATATATATATATATATATATATATACATCTATACATATTTCTACATATATATATATATATATATATATATATATTCCTTTTCCTAAATGTTTACAAGCCGGGCGGGGGGGAAACCCGTCCCCCCCCCCCAAAAAAAAAAAACGGACTCCCGGGATCTGGGGCTTTGGGACCCTTTCGGACGGGCCTCGAAGCGGCCCCCTGGGCCTGGCAGGGCGTTTTGCCAAGCCTTCGCAGCACACCTAGGGCGATCAGGGGGTCATCGGAGACGTCCCAGAGAACCCCAAGACAGCACAAGAGCGCTCCAAGAAGCCGTCATACCCCGAACGATCGCTCCAAAACGTACCAAGAGGCCTCCAAGAGCACCCTCAAGAAGGCCCCAAGAGGGAATACTCATCGATTTAATGTAGGTTTTTGGTGAATTTCGGGTTCTCCTCTTTTCGGCTCCCCGACGCTCCAAGACAGCGGTCTTCTGGGCGTCCGAAGTCGCCTGGGAGGCTCCAAAATCGCCCCGCAACCATCCGAAAGGGCTTCCAGGAGAGCCCCAGAACGGCATAACAGTGGTCCAAAATGGCCCTCTAAGAGAGCCCCGTGGCGGCCCAAGATAGCCCCAAGACACAAGACACCCTCCGAAGCATTCCAAATCGTGACCGGGGCGTTCAGGGAGACTGCGGTTAGAGGCAGGTTGTCCTTAGGAAGCCCCAGAGGCCCCCAGAACACGCCCAGGAGGCCTCCAGAAAGCTTTAAGAAAGCCTGAGAACTTTGGTGAGGCCCCCAGAGTCTCTCCAAGGAGGAGCCTCCGCAAAAAGAGCTGAGGAGGATGGGGAGAATACCCAGGGTATGGCGAGAATGAGGAAAAATAATCATGGATGAGGGATAACGAACAGCATTATTATAACGGCGATGCCAGAGCAGGCAGCAAGGAGTCATCGCAAAATTTCCGCCTGCATACCAATCTTCAAGGACCAAGGTGCATGGCGCGAAGCGCCACTGCAGTCTTGTGTGTGTATATATATATATATATATATATATATATATGTGTGTGTGTATGTACTCGGCCTGATTGTTCTGTCCAGGCACGGTCTGCCCCGCGCGCCGGCATCCGCCGGCCCGCTGGGGGCCCGCGCCAAAAGGGCGAGGTCGCTGAGCCAGCGCCCCCGCGAGCGACCGCGGCCGGGCAGGGGGGCGCCCGCCTCGCCGGTCGCATTCGCAACTCTCGGCAGGGATGAGCGGGAGAGGGGGGCCGCGCGACCCCCAGTTCAGGCCCCGCGCGCCGCGCGCGCGAGAGAGATAGAGAGATAGAGAGAAGAGAGAGAGAGAGAAGAGAGAGAGAGAGAGAGAGCTCGGCGACGCCTCGAGGTCACTCGAAGGCGCGCTTCTAACAACTGCCCAGGGGCCCCCGGGACGCCGAGCATGCGACAGTTGCGAAAAGCAACAAGAACATCTACACAAGCAGCAAATAGAATATTAGACGACATTGGCGAACGCGACAGCAAAGGGCGGGGAGGGGCCAGGGCCAGCCCGCAGGGCTGGACGAAGGCGAAGTAAATTGAGAGCACAGCCAAGAACTGAACAAAGAGGCATGCCGCTGACAACCAACGCAGCGTTCAACATAATCAAAATCTTCATTGCCAGGCGCTGAGCAAACAAAAAGACAGCCTGCTGCTTTTGACATATATCTTCGGGAACTACGCAGGCCACGACGCGGGATCCGCATCGTCGCAACAATCAGGCACCGCTGCGATTTCTTCTGAACAAAGAACGCGCCAATGAAAAACCTGCACACATTACGCTGCGAAACTTGCGGGCACCAGGCGCGGGCCCCACGCGGCGGAACCGCCCTCGGGGGTTCTCGGGTCGGCGCCCCCGCGCGACAAAATCATGCAACAACTAGATATATATAATGCAACGGGCGGGGCGCTACGGTGCTAGGCAAATAATGCACATAGAATAGACTGCCCTTCCAATGACCCTTCCGCGCACGCCCGCGCACACCCGCGGCGGTCTTCGAGCGAGCGCGGGCGCTCAAACGCCGCGCCAATCTCACCGCGACGCAGAATACACATGACACGGGTCGCCCTGGCAAGGGCAGCCGCGCCCTGAAACCCAAGGGGGGGGGCCGGGGGCTCGCGAAGCTGCGCGCAGCAGGAATGCGAGAGGGCACTCCTGGGGCCCCAGGTCACGCGCAGAGGTTCACGAAAACAACCTGAGAGCTCCCTGGACACGGGATGAACTTGAAGGGCGAAGCTGAGCGCCGACGCCCACGCGACGCGAGCTGACAGCATCACATGCAGGGCCAAGACCAAGCCGAGGGGCAACCCCTGCGCTCTGTCCGGCTTTCCTAGGGGGGACTTCGCACCAGGCACCTCCGCGAGCCATCTCGCCAGTAAAAATGCCGAAGTATTTCGCGCCATCCGCGACTTGGAGGTACTTTCCATCATCGCACCAGGAAAACATCCGCCGGTCAGGCCTGCAATCGAATCGCGGAGGTTTAAACTCGCAGGGACCTGCACTTCTGGACGTGTAACTTCTAACCTGCCGCGCCGTCGAGCAGCGCCATCGTCTCGAGCAGCGGGCTCGGCGCAGGCGACGGCGCGGTCGGCGCGGGCTGCCAGTCTCGCCTTCGCCCTTCGCACGGGCGGGCCCGCAGCAAGAGCGAGCGATGGCATGGCAAGCGGCGCACTCTGGCGCGCCCCGCGGGCTCCCCCGCGCGCGCCCGCTCGCGCGCGGCGCCCTCCGGCGCGCCCCGAAAGCGTATCCGCGCGCGCCCGCCGCTCGCGCGCGGGGCTCTCCGGCGCGCCCCGAGGGCGCCTCTGCGCGCCGCTCGCCCGCGGCGCTCTGCTGCGTTTTGTTCATGCCACCCCACACTCACACACACACACACCACCACCACCACCACCACCACCACCACCACCACCACCGCCACGCCACGCCACGCCACGCCACGCCACGCCACGCCACGCCACGCCACGCCACGCCACGACCACCACCACCACCACCACCAATCCCCCCACCACCCCCACCCACCCAAACCCAAAGCCCAACCCCGCGCGGCGTTTGCGTGGCGACTGCAGCTGACGTCTTTTCATGCGCCGACCTCATCGCGAGACATGGGAGTGGTGCCGCGAAGCGCGCGCGGATGCATCCCACCCCCCACAATCCCGTTGTGGGGGGTGGGATGCGTGCGCGCACGTCTCGTGAGCACACGCACTCTCTCTCTCTCTCTCTATCTCTCTCTTTCTGCACACATTCAAATGTATCTTTGCATATGGGTACACACCTACACATACGATCAATTGTGTGTGCGTGCAACGGTATGTGTGTGTGCACATGCACGTATGTATACGCATGTCTACAAACGTGTATAGATGTAGACATGCATATACATGCACATATGTGTATATATATATATATATATATATGTATGTGCGTGTGTGTGTGTGTGCGCATCTGTGCATGTGTACATGTATGATCCTGGGATGCCCCCCCCAATGCATACGAGATCGAGCCCCCCCCCGCTGGATGGGTACGCTCGTGAGCCTCGCAAAAGTCTCGCAAATGGAACCGCTCCCCCCCGGGTGGCCGTGGCCCTGTGGGCGTGGCCTGGTGGAGGGTGCCAGAGCACCGCCCTCCCTCCCCCTGTGGGTGGGTCATCGTCTTTGTCGTCGTCGTCGTCGTCGTCGTCGTCGTCCGTCGACGGCCTTGGCGTCGGCGTCGTCGTCGTCGGCGTCATCGTCGGCGTCGGCGTCGATGTCGGCGGCGTCGGCGGAGTCGACGTCGGCGTCGGCTTCGGCGTCGGCGTGGTCGGCTTCGGCGTCGGCGTCGTCATCGGCGTCCGCGTCGGCGTCAGCGTCGGCGTCGGCGTCGGCGTCGGCGTCGTCGTTCCCCCCCATCCCATCTGGGGGGGGGCTGTGAACCCCGGGACCCATCCCATCTGGGAGGGAAGGGCCTGTGAACACTCGACCTGGGATCATATGTGTGTGTGGGTGGTTCCCTCTCTCTTTCTCCGTCTCTCGTTCTCTCTCACATGCTCAGCACGTCCTCCACACGGGTCGGCGAGCGATGTCGCTGGTGTGGGCCGCAAAGGGGGCGAGATGCAAAAGATTAGATGAATGGCGAAAGAGGGCGGAGAGTCGGGCGTTTTCCTGACGTGCACAAGTGTCAGACTTCTCGAATGAGAAGTGTCCACACTAGGCCCACCGAATCGCTACTTGCACAAACAGGCACTGTACCTGAGCCGTTCCATGAGCAAGCATAAACCCGGGCAAAGGACTCGTGATCGTGAATGCCATGGGCGTGTCAGCCTTTATGTACCTATGCACCCAGGCTTTATCCAAACTTCCAGGATTGGGGATATCAATAGATTTCGAGCCTAGCTCGGCATTCCCCTCTGTGCAAAGCAAACGTGGTGGCTGACGTGTTTCGAACAACGAAGGGGTGTCAAGCTGGACATATGTGTGAAACCACTTCACTTGACTATTGGACGGTGTCGACGCTCTGGGGCTGCCGTGCCCAATGGATACAACGCTAAATGCAACTGACCCTGAGCGTCCACAGCAATAACGCTCTGCCCATCCTCACCAAGACTTCCACATACACACACACACATACAAACATATATATATATATAACTATAAATGCACACTTTCTCCAAAATAGAAACCGACGGCCGAATCCAGTACAGTGTGAGTGACACGGAGAACCGGCAAGAGCAAGGCGGCAAGTCAACCACGGCCGGTGGAGCCCGAGGCGAGCCCGCGGGAGATGTCCGGATGTCCTGGGTCATGCTCTCGGGTCGGGCGAAAGGGGGGGATAGCAAAGGGGGGGTTTGAGAATCAGCTCACGTAGCTGATTTTCCCGGCGCCTCCCGGCGCCGGAGGCACCCATGTATCCAGGAATGGGCCCCTCGGTGGGGCCGAAACTAGCTGCATGCAGCAAATTTCGTAACCCCCCCTTTCCCAATCCCCCCCTTTCGTCTGGCCCGATGCTCGCGGAGTACAGCAAACGTCGCAGAGCACAGCAGGAGCCGCACCAGATCGGAAGCAGCGTCGAGCCTGCCGGAGGGCAGTTGAGAAGCGGTGGGTGCGCGAAGCAGTGGCGTCGTCAGCAGTCGTCGCCAAATACTGGTCGGGGTCAAGTAGGGCGACGCAATCTATACATATCCACTGCTCCCTGGCCAGGCCCATCCTCAACCCCGCAGCGGTGTATACGCCACGCCCTCCTGGTTTGGCCAGGAGGGCGTATACACAGCTCATGGGTTCAGGATGGGCCTGGCCAGGGAGCAGTGGATATGTATAGATTTCGTCCCCCGATCAAGGTGGGGCGGAAAGAGCGTGGAACCCCAGCTGAGCACTTGCACTATCGAATGACCCAGTCCGCGTCGCAGCCGTAGCGGGAAGCCTGGCAGAAGCAGGAAAGACGACAGGGGACAGCGTGGCGCCGGGGGAAGCTGCCGTGAAACGTCGTGTCACCGCCGTGAGGCTCAGTGACAGAGTGCGCGAAAGACACGGATCGGTACGTCGTAGTGTCAGTCGGGCAGGTCCGAGACCGTAGAAAATAGGAACAGCAGGGCGAAAAGAAGAGGCTGGCAAACTGCGAAACTCGCAGCGAAGCACAAAAAATGGCGAGAGTAGCAACCTGGCGCCCAAGCGCATGACGAACTCGATAGTCGGAGCAATTCTAAGACCCAGAGGGATGCGGGAGCAAGAGTGTGGGTCGGCTGAAGAAGTCGTCCAACGGCCGACCGAGAAACGTGAAAGCGTGACCGCCATGGAAGTCGGAGCGGGTCTGAGACCCTGACGAGGATTGCGCAAAGAACATCAAGGGCGAAAGGACGAGCGCATCAACTCGCCGCGGGACAGCTCAATACACGAAGACGTCGAAACCGATGCTTCGAGGTGACGCACACGCACACACACACACACACACACACACTGGAGAGGCCGAGTGACGTCACCACAGCGAGAGCTAGAATGGGGCACTCTCGAGCATGCCAAATTCCTGCAGGAATTGCAGGTGGTGGACTGCGCCATGCAAGCCGACGTGCATTAGAAGGAGAACAGGCGAAGCCGGCGCATGCACTACGCGCAGGAGAGCTTAGAGTTGCGCCGCCACCACTCAGCCCAGGAAGTAGACGGCGAGACATGACTGCTGCAGTGCATCGGAAAGGGTGGCCGAGTCTGACATGTGTGAACTTTCTGCAATGCAGCGAAAAGGGTGGCACGATGCCAGGTGACGTGTGCACCTTGCAGTAGCGCAGCGGAACACAAACACACACACACACACACACAAACACTCACTCACTCACTCACTCGTTCACTCATTCACTCACTCACACACACACACACACACACACACACACGCGCGCGCATAGCACCCACACACACACACACAGACACACACACACACACACACACACACACACACACACACAGACACACACACACACACACACACACACACACACACACACGCGCGCGCGCGCGCACGCGCACACACGCACACGCACACACGCGCACACATGCACACACGCCCAGGCAGGCCGCTGTGAGCCGCCTGTATACACATGAGATGATGCCGGCCAATGCAATACAGAGATGGATGTCCCCAGGCCAGAATTCTGATGACATCAAGCGTGCCAGGGCCGTCGGTGGGGCTCTCAAGGCCCAGACTGGCTGGCCTTACATCTAATGGGATCCCAACCTACCCCGCCTGAATCGGGTCCGGACGAAAGAGTGGGCAAGGCGGGGGTAGCGGATCAGCTCAAGCAGCAGGTTTTCACACCGCCTCCTGGCGCTGCAGGCGCCCACGTCCCTGGGAAGGCGCCCAGCGGCGGAGGCGAAATCAGCTGCGTGCAGCGGATTTCGCGATCGATCGCCCTTCCTCCTCCTTCATTTGTCAGCCCCAGTGCTCCTCTTCATCTCGTCTTGCGTTCGAGCCAGAACTCGGGTCCGTAGCGGCTGTTTGGGACGCCTCGGGGACCCCCAGACAAGCTCTCGGCGAGGTGCAGCTGCTGGAAGGCATCCCGAAGCCGGCAAACCGTCGAACACCGACGACAGCGTCCGGAAACATAGACATGGGGAAACGCTGCCCCCATCACGGTGCCCACACACCCCCCTCGGGCAGTGGCGCAAATCGCACCGCCAGGCATGCATCCCCCGCTGGTCTCAGGTCGGGCATGCCCTCCTTCAGGCGGATTTTGAAAAACAAAAAAGTTAAAACAGTCCAGAAATATTCAGAAATAGTCAAAAAAAATCGAGACATCGTCCCGAGACCATTTTTCTAGACTCTTTTCAACCTTCCTCCTGTCGAGGGACATGCCCGGCATTACGCTGGACCGTTGCGCGCCGCATGACGCAGCGCCGCGTCGCGTCGGCCGGGTCGCCAGTGGCGGGCGGTCGCAGGGACGCGGTAAATGAGGGGCCGGTTTTCCACCACCACTACCGTAGGAGTGGGGCAGGAGGAGGCGGAGGAGGAGGCGGAGGAGGAGGAAGAGGAGGAGGAGGAGGAGGAGGAAGAGGAAGAGGAGGAGGAGGAGGAGGAGGAGGAGGAGGAGGAGGAGGAGGAGGAAGAGGAAGAGGAGGAGGAGGAGGAGGAGGAGGAGGAGGAGGAGGAAGAGGAAGAGGAAGAGGAAGAGGAGGAGGAGGAGGAGGCGAGCCACGAGTCTCGGGCCCAGACGCCCGTGGCAGTGCGCCAGCCCTAGGGGGCCAGCCACAAGCGAAAACCTCTCTGTCTACCCCTCACACCCTGTACATCCTTTGACCTTCTCCCATACTCAGATCCTCTCCTTTCACTCATGACATATTTCATTCCTCGTGATACTTTCTTGCGTTACGGTGCACCACGCCAGCACTGCAGGTTCACGGCATCGGCGTCTACGTTTTGCGCCCCACACAACCAGCACACGAGCACCACACGCAGGGCCATTCGGGCCAAAGCCCAACCTTCAACACGACGCCGTCGACCTCTCCCAACCCTGCTTGGCATCGCAGGGAAAGAGAAAAGCGTGCAACAGCATGCACACTACTACGAGTAGCATCAGCACGATCATTACTCGACCAACCTGCCCACCAACAACTACAAGCTGACAGCTACTACTCAACCAACATCACAAAGCACAACAGCTACCAAGACAGACGACCGACACAGTGCACGGCGATCAGGGCACAACCAGGCAGAGACAAGGAGACCAACCTACAACAACTACAGGCAGCAGAAGATAACCATGTGCCAACCCCAAGCAGCGAGCGACCACCTGTCCAACGACTACCACGAGTCTCGAGAGCACAAACAAGCACTCCGACAAGCAGGGCTGCGTATGCCAGCAAGGCGGCGACAGCAGAACGACTAGAGGTAGCAGCAGGACGCGAAGCAGAACAGACAACAAGACAGAACGAGCAACGGCATCAACCCATAGAGAGTCTTACAATCCAAAAAACTCAGATACCACACAAAAAGTCAGCCATCTCGAAGCATAGAACGACCAGTACGAGACCACGCACACCCCTCAGAAGTGATTTAGAAGAGAAGACTGAAGCGACAATCGCTGAGCTAAGACAAAAGCTAAGAGAACAACGAGCAGCACCAGCAGCAGCAGCAGCAGGAGGGGGAGGGGGAGGAGGGGAAGGACCGCAACAACAACAACCAGCAGCCACCAGTAACAGTGCTCAGGACATTCTCAGAGCAGAACAAGCTACAGAGGAGCGTATGCAGCACTCCACCCAGCAGAATACGCCAACACTACAGGCCCCAACAAGAAGAGCTTGCGCACAAACGCGCCCCATACACGTTGGTGGCAGAGCAGGAGGTACACTCCCTGGAGCCCGGTCTAACACATGAAATCAGACAACCCAGATGGCACGCGCAATAGCGCCACGTCAACGAAGAACAATACGCAGACTACTTGGCACAACAGGCCAGGCACAAGCAGAATTTGATCAAGAAGTTACAACAGCACAATAAGCAGTACATACCGCTCACCGGCTTCAACAAGCAAAGAGCAACCTACTTGACACAGACAACGACCAACAAGCAGCACGCCTCATCATGGCCAGCGCGACACTGCAACTCAACATGGCCAACCAACACTACCAACAGCGACTTCTGACAGCGGAACAATGCCAACAAGGAACTGAAGCATGCGAACAAAAGCAGCAGATGAAGATACAGAAGTACGTCACAGTACAAGGACAATCTGAAGCAGTGGCTTCAAAGGGAAGGCGAGCTGACTACACTACTACGACAAGCAAAAACAGAGCTACGACAAAAAGCAGCGCGAATCTCGACCATGACAAGAACCACCAGT